TGAAGTGCCAAAGATGGACTGCTTTGCCAGATACAGAGTCGCACCTAAATATTTTATTTTGGGGAAATTTAGGAAACCCTGACTCGTTGCCTAAGGCCACGTGTCCGTCATCACCAAAGTTGCCTCGGCTCAGGAACTTGGGTACGATTGGGGAAGGTCAGGTATGAGCACCCCCACTCGCCCGATCCGAAGATCGGCTTCTACTAACCATGATATCTAGTTTTGAAAACGTTAGGTGTTCTTAATCCAGTTATTAGCCTAATCTTACTATGTGATGCGCACAACACAAAAGTATAGACTAGATCGCCTAATTTGGAACAAAGCATCGCATATCTGTTTGGTTGAAAAATAATTTGAAATTTGCTACTCGCAAGTAGGCTAAAACACGAATTTCAATGAGTTGTTCCAACTCAAACAATCCAACCTTCACCCACAGGCATTCAGGCAGTTTATATCACATAAGCATATAGCCACATGGTAAGCATGCTGTCATGTTTAACATTCACACTCATGCGAGATGCTAAAGCATAAAAACACTCACAGTGTACTCCAAGCCAAAACAAGAAACTAGTTAGTAATCATGCATGATCCTAGTTCATGTTAAAGTGGCTAATGCATCGCATACAAAATGTCACTAGAATAGGCTCGGCTAATCTATGGATGGCATGTGAAATGCGACAGATAGCATATATTCAAGTTAGATTTGAAATACTATGCAGTTAGCATGATGCGCCGAGCCTGGTGCATGCAATACTGATGAATGATGCACGCATGCATAGCATAAGGTATGATAAATTGAATATGCCCTACTACTAACCATCAAAAGCTGGTAAATAAAAGGGAGAAAGACATGGGGTTAGAAGACATACACATACTCACGCATGCTTATTACACAATAGCCCTCACTCGGAGGGTCTGAAAGAATAATACAAATTAATTAACCTACAAGCTAATTAATTAATTGCAGACCAATTAACTAGTTAAGCAAATTAACTAAGCTAGTAAAGCGATAAAATCGCTTCGGGAAGAGGGCCCAATGCACGTTTGCTCGGCTCTGCTCAGAAACCCACCATCATGCACAAGTTGCCTCTATTTTCACTGTTTTCCTCCTCTGAAGACTGCATAAGTCCCAAGGTACACCCTCTGAACACTGGGAAATGCCACCGACCATGAGGAATGGTCACCGGCCAAAGTTAAGTGGTCATCGACCATCTATGAAGCCATCGGCCAGAAATGGATAGCCGGCCGGCACTGGAGATGGCCAACCGGCCATATCTTCCTGTAGGAACCTATTTTGGCAGCAGTAGAGGGCAAAACAAGGCATGGGAATGCATTTCAAAGCAATGTTTGTATCACCACACCCCTTATCATGTTTATGACTCAAAAGGGTACGGTACTCGATTCTCGGACCACCAATCGCGCATTTCAATGCATGACGGCCTAAGAAACCAAGTTGTGCATTTTGGTGTGGAATGAAATGCACATAAACAAACAATGGAGGCCCAACCTCTATCATAATCAATTCAAGAGGCAAGGCATGCATGCTTAGTGAAATGCAACCTAGGCATGCAAGCTAAACATGCAACATGAGGATGCAAACAAGCATGCTAAGAAGCAAATATGTAACAAGCATGCAAAAATGCAATGTGAACATGCAAACATGCAAGACATATAACATGTTAAGCAATCAAAACAAAAGGAAATGCATGCCAAATGCAATGTGATTCAAACATACAACACATGCGATAGGCCAAGTATGTAACAACATGCAAGGCTAGCATGCAACAACACGCGAATAAGGGTCTTAGACTAGTTTGGGCAGCTCTCAAATAAGCCCAAAACAGTGGCCGAATAC